AGAGAGAGAGAGAGAGAGAGAGAGAGAGAGAGAGAGAGAGAGAGAGAGAGAGAGAGAGAGAGAGAGAGAGAGAGAGATTGGGCGGAGGCCAGGAGTACTTACCTGCAGCGCCGTTGCTCCAGCTTCGTCTTCGAGGTACCTGCAGCACAGCGCCAACATCACAGGTTAGTATCTGGTTCGTAACAGTGAGAGAGAGTTCTCCTTCTTCCTCTTCTCAGTGCACCATCTCCTTCTCCCCCTCTCAACATCTGACTTCACTGCATCTGCAGACTACGAGAGAAGAGAGACAGAGCTTGGTGACATCGGATCCAGACTCGACTTTTGGGACTTCAGACATGGCAATGAGGGATTATTTGGGATTGGTGACAAAGACTTGGTGTTGACGACATTCCCATCTCTCTCCCTCCTTTCGTCTGATTCCTTCCTCTTCGTCTGTGTATGTCTGGACCTGGCGCTTCCTTCCTGTGGACAGCGTCAGGCTCCTTCACACCTGTTGATGGGTACGATGTATGTTTGGTCTGAGTTCAAACATTGATTGGACTAGTTGTTAGCATGTTAGCATTCTGCTTCGCTACTTTGTACTATGTGAGTGAGGTCAGTCCCGGTCAGGTCAGTCTTTGTATTTAAGAGTTCCCTGCGCTAGTCAGCACCATTATGTATGTATGAGAATGTACATTGCTTGTCGAGATTCTATTCGCACTGCATTGTCCATTCAGTCCTTTTCATCACATTGCAGATCCTCGGTTATTACGTACATCAAGTATCTGTGCATGTAACAGTTGGTATCGGAGCATCGCACGTGAATCAGGACAACCTGATCGGACACGTGTGCGGGGACTACATAGCTGGTCAGTCTTTATTGATTGATTAGAGCACATCGGTTAGACCCCAAAATCACGATTTTGACCTTACTACCGAAAATCGAATTTTTTTTCTTTTCTTGGATTTTATTTTCTCGCTATTCTGTGGTGGAAAATCGCAATATCGCAACATCTGAAATTCCCATTTTCGTTTTTCTTCTGAAAATTCGAAATTTCGCTGTTGAAAATCCGGAATATTTTTCTTTTCGAAAATTTCGATTGCCTGTTGCATTTCCCGTTACTTAGAAATTCGGAATATCTTCTTTCCTGAAATTCGTTTTTTTGAAAACGGTACGGGAAATCCCTCCTGCGGTATTATTTTCTAAACTGCGAATATTCTCATCGGAATAAATCCGAATACTTGTCATTTCTTTTCGGAATTGTTTTCGCAGTTCTAGGATTCTGTCGTTCAGTTCTATAAATCATTTGAAGTCTAAAGTCGAAAATTTTTTCTGTCAGTGATCATTTCGCACTTCAAGGGAGGTTGGGAGACCTGCTGAACTTGCAAAAAATCGGGATTTTTATTTTTCTCGAATTTTTTTTTGCAAAGTTCAAACTTTTCTTGTTTGATTAGTGGCTCCTTATCTGAGTGATTAGTTGGGCGATTATCCCACCCACCCCTCCCCACCTATGTTGTTGCCATCTCTCGCCTTACCGTTTCTGTTTGTCTCCGGGTACCCCCTGCGGCGGCATTGGTGAGTTGCCATGTCAGCAGGCCATGTCAGCAGGCCATGTCAGCAGGCCACGTCAGCAGACCACGTCAGCAGGCCACATCAGCAGACTACATCAGTACGTCAGCAGGCAACGTCAGCAGGCTACGTCAGCAGGACACGTCAGCAGGACACGTCAGCAGTGCCACGTCAGCAGCAAGGGATACCACATCAGCAGGCCCCAGCCTGGTCTATGCTGTTGCGATCTCATACAGCAGTCATGGACCAGAGGCTCGGAGAAGCAGACGAGGCCTATCAGGCCCGCATGCTGGCCTGGAGTACCGAGACAAAGAAACGGGCAGATGACGCTGCAGCAGCAGCGAAGAAGAAGGCAGAGGATGCCGAGCAGGCACGTCTGCTGGCACTTGAACAACAGCACCAGCATGACGAGGCAGCAGCAAGGGCTGCCGATGAAGAAAGACACCAACGTCGTGAGAAGATATTTACCGGAGAGCAGGCTTTACTCACGATGGCAGCGGACTGGCGGACCGAAGCGGAGAATGGCAAGTTGGAGGATAGCGCAAACAAGATAGCGCTCCTCCTCTCGCATCTCACAGACCTCCTGGCAACCTGCATTACACAGCAGGAGGATATCCACGGTCTCGACAACTCGCTAGCTCACGTCCAAGACCGCCTTCAGCGGTTGGAGCAGCAACCAGTCGCCGCCGCCGACGCAAGCTCTTCCAATACTGCCGACCGCCTCAACACATTGGAAATGGACATCGGCTCACTCAAGGATGGCGTGCAATTACAGCAGACCGCGACGCAACAGTTGCAACAACGGATCTGCACTACCGCCAACACCTCGAGTTCAAAACCGCGTGAGACAGCTCCAAAGTTCGACGGGCAGGAGATCTTCTGTGACTCAAAGAAGACAGATCCGGTTCCATGGTTTCGCAAGTTCGAGCTCACGCTGCAGCTCCACAACGTCAAGGAACACAAGCACCACACATACTTGTACTCTCGCTCAGGCGGCGCTTGTCAGGCTTGGTTGGACAACCTGTTGTCCAAGTACGGAGTGGTAGCCAACGACTTGCACACCAAGATCAGTTGGGATGATCTGAAGGCGGCGTGGCACAAGCGGTTCCAGGTGGAGCCGCCGGAGATCAAAGCCATGGACAAGCTCATGGTCTTCGAGCAAGGCACGCTGCCGAGTACCGACTGGATCGCCGAGTACCAACGCTTGACGTCAGTCCCAGACATCCAGATGGGCTTCAAGGCCATCCGCCATTACTTCATCTCAAGGTCATGTCCGACATTAAGTAATGCCCTGACTCATGTCGAGGACACCTTGACGACGACGGCGTAATTGTTTGACAAGGCCGCGCAGATCATCATCACGAACAAGGAGGCCAAGAACCTCCGTTCATCTGCGTCAGGCCTGAGCACGGACCAGCATCGGCCAAGAGTGGTCGTGGTCGCAGCGGCAGCGCCGTTGGACCAAACCAGCGAGGCTGTGTTTGCCAGTGAAGGGGACAGACTCGCAGCCGCCCGGGAAGGTGGCTGCCCCGCGGCAAGACGAAGACACACACCGCATCTAGCCCCGGGCCCGGTGCAGCAGCTCAGGCAGGCCCGCGAGTTTCGCACGCAGCGGTACGATGACAACAACGCACCACTCATGTATGTCCGCATTCAGGTTGGGCAAGCGTCCTGCAGCGCTTTGCTGGATAGCGGCGCGTTTGGCAATTTCATGAGCCAATCCTTTATGCAAAGGCCTGGCCCTGGCGCACAAGTTCGGAGGAAGGCAAACCCGACGGCGATCAAGTTGGCGGATGGAAAAACGCACGCAACAACTTCTCGACCGTTACATCGAGGCCGTACTGGTCTATTTCGCACCTCATGCATGCGAACCGGTGACATTCGATATTCTCGACACGGACTTCGGCATCATTCTGGGAATGCCTTGGCGTGCAAGTGCGGATCACTCGATCAACTTCCATCGGCGGACTCTTAGCGTTCGCGACGCCTTCCGCGCGGAAGTGGCGTGTACTATACCTCTACCACACCCTTCAATCCGGTGTCAAGTGGTGACGACCAAATCATTCCGGGCGACTTGCGCTTACGAGCAGCCCGAGGAGATCGGCCTATGTTTCCTACGGACCGTCGCGGTAGCCGACTCTTCACCCACGGACTTGTATTCGGACCCCGTGTGGTGCGGTTGCTGGACGAGTTCGCCGACATCTTCGAGTCACCTACCGGTGTGGTGCCGGATCGGCCGATCTCTCACGAGATCATTCTTGAGGCCGGTGCCGTGCCGCCGAAAGGTTGCATCTATCGGATGAGCGAGGAGGAACTTGAGGTCCTCCGCGCACAACTCGATGATTTGCTGGCCAAGGGTTGGATCCGCCCTAGCAGCTCCCCATATGGAGCACCAGTTCTCTTCGTCAGGAAGAAGAACAAGGATCTACGACTGTGTATCGACTACCGCAAGCTCAACGTGCAAACCGTCAAGAATGCGGGGCCTCTTCCTCGTATTGACGATCTCCTTGAGCGATTGGGTGGCGCAAAATATTTTTCTAAGTTAGATTTCAAATTGGGATATCATCAAATCTCGATCCAGCCGAACGATCGCTACAAAACCACGTTCAAGACGCAGTACAGGCATTTTGAGTGGGTGGTCATGCCTTTTGGCCTCACCAACGCCCCGGCGACGTTTCAGGTGGCAATGACCAATGAATTCCGTGCAATGTTGGACCGGTTCGTACTGGTTTACTTAGACGATATTCTCGTCTATAGCCGGTCATTGGAGGATCATCTTGTTGGAGACGCTCCGCCGCGCCAAGTACAAGGCCAACTGCGACAAGTGTGAATTTGTCCGGCAGGAGCTGGAATACTTGGGCCATTTTGTCACACCGGAGGGCATCAGTCCGCTATCGGACAAGATTCAGGCCGTCCAAGAGTGGACGGAGCCTCGGAACGTCACGGATGTCCACTCGTTCCTCGGTCTTGCCGGCTACTATCAGCGCTTCATCAAAGGCTACTCGAAGATCGCGGCCCACTTGAACAAGCTTCAATGCGAGGATCGGCTGTTTGACTTCAGAGAGGAGGCGCGGGGATCATTCTTCGCTCTCAAAGCCGCGCTATTGTCTGCGGAGGTCTTGCGGATATACGACCCGCTCTTGCCTACGCGCGTCACTACAGATGCGTCAGGCTATGGCATTGGTGCAGTCCTCGAGCAACATGATGGTGTGGACTGGCACCCGGTCGAGTACTTCAGCAAGAAAGTGCCCATCATGAATTCCATTGACGATGCACGCAAGGAGGAACTCCTCGCCTTCGTCCACACGCTCAGGCGGTGGCGGCACTTCCTCCTTGGTCGAAGCCAATTCCGTTGGGTAACGGACAACAATCCGTTGGTCTTCTACAAGACCCAAGACACCGTCAACAGCACCATCGCTCGATGGATGGCTTTCACCGACCAGTTCAACTTATTTCCTGATCACATTCCCGGGAAGTCGAACCGTTTTGCGGATGCTCTTTCACGACTCCGGATCATTGTACCGCGGTCTACTCAACTTTCGAGATTGACGACGACCTGCGGAACAGCTTCATCCGCGGCTACCAAGCCGGCCCCGAGTTTCGCGACAAGTACGCGAATTGCTCCTCTCCTAATCCGGCCCCTTCTCACTACCGGATCCAAGAGGGGTACTTGCTTGTCCACACGCGGGGGAAGGACCTTCTTTGCGTACCGAGTGATCCTCACTTGCGTACACGGCTTCTTGGCGAGTTCCACGATGCTCCCGCCACGAAACACTTTGGAGTCAATCGCGCGATTGGCCGACTTCGCCAGCGATTTTGGTGGCCCGGCCTTCTCGGCGACGTCACACGCTATTGCAAGTTATGCGAGGTTTGCCGACGCTGCAAATCCCGCAACCATCGTCCGTACGGCGAGTTACGACCATTGCCAGTCCCGTTGAGGCGAAGGGAAGCGATTGACATGGACATTACCGGCCCATTCCCCAAGCACAAGACCGGAGTGGATGGGATTCTCACGGTGGTCGACCATGTTTTTGCCTTGTCGCTATTGTGCCAAGGCACCGGAGTTGGCCGAGGTTCTTTACGCCGGTTGGATTCGAACCAAGGGTTACCCCAAGGAGATCGTCT